ACTCAATAACAACAGCAACACACACACACACACACAAACCCAACAAAACCACAGTTTTCCTTGCTCCTCCAAACCAGATGGCAGATGGTATGGAACCAATGAAACACAGATTCAAACGTTTGTTTATCTAACATTGAGTGTAATATGGCTCTGTGGTCCCTTGTAAGGAAACACCAACCTTCCAACCAAAGAAATGATGGATTTGAGTCAAACCTCAGGGTGGCCTTTGAGGAACCGTGCCTTGTGGCAGGGGCAGGGATAAGCACAGGGCCAGGGAGAATGCAGCTCCAGGCAAGGCCTCCTGGCCCCAGTACCTCTCTGGCTGGGAACCCAGGAGGTCTTTGCTCTGAGAACTGACTGGTTCTACCTCACTGCTTGCCTTCTGTGGATGTTTCCTCCCAAAGGCAGCCAGCCACGTGAAGAATGCGGCTGCATCACTGTTCAATCAGCTGTGTAAGCTATTGCTCCAAGCCACCATGTCAAAGACCATGAGAAAAAGGTCTGCACCCTCCAGAAAAGGCTCTCTGTTTTGTGACTTTGGCCTTGGGATATGGGAGGATGAGAACTTTGTGCTACAGCATGGTTCTCTTTTTGCTTTAGCTTCCAGGAGAGTCACGGCTAAATTATATGCTGAGATTCAATAACTTTGAATGACTTAAGTGGCAGAAACCCCAACCCAAACTATTTTAAGTAGAAAAGGTAATTAAGTGAAGTAAATGTAGATTGTTTCAGAGATGGCTAGATTCATGGTTAACAGGACTTTCTATTCTCTTTATAGAGTACCCACCACGGACTCAGACTCTAAAATTCACAGCCCAACATAACAATTCAGCAGCCCCAAGCAGCCCTCCCCACAGACCCTTGGAGGCATCCTGACTGGTTCTGCTTGACACATAGGCTCATCATCCAACCAATCACAGTGGCCAGAGGCTTGCAGTAATTCTGATTGGTCAGTCTTGGGCCTCGTGACTCAGGTGAAGAGGGGGCATCGCTGGCTCTACCTTAAGCACAGGGAACAGAGTCCTCTGCAGGGAATGGGGGGGAGGGGAAATGTGCAAACGGATGACTGCCTCAGTCTGGAATTCTAGTATGACTATCTCCCCCAATTCATTCACGTCACTCTTGGTAACCTCATCTTATTAGGTATCTGTATCTCTTATAATAAGCATTCTTAATAGTTATTAAATAGGACAAACAAAAGGGGAAAGGAGAGTCTGTACTCTAGAATGTTCTGTTCCAAGTGCTTCATTAACTACAAATGTCAGGACCAGAGGGAGCTGCAGAGTTTACCCTGTTCTGGGGATATAGATGCAATCACCCCACAAGACCACCTTGCCCAAAGCCTGGTGCCCACACCTCTGATGGCTGCAACCTAGAAGACTGGCATCAGGAGGGGATCCTCCTGTCCTGTGTCTAGCTGTGGCCTCTCTTCCTCTTCTCTCCGGGTGGCTCCCTCTTCCACTGGCCAGCCAAAAATCTCTTTTCAATGGTTCTACTCATCAGTGAAGTAGGACTCCCTGGGTCTATTTGGGCCTCCTATGTCTAAAATAAAACGTTTTTCTTTTTCGTTTTCTTCAAGACAGGGTCTTATTTAGCCCAGGCTTGCCTCAAATTCAATATGTAGTTGAAGATGACCCTGAACCCCTGATCTTCCTGCCTCTACCTCCGAAGTACTGAGGCTACAGATGTGCATCACTACACCAGGTCTATGTGGTGCTGGGGATCAAACTTGGGGCATCGTGCAGGTTAGGCAAGCATTCTACCAACTGAGCTGCAGCCCCAGCCCCAAAGCAAAGGTCTTTAGAAAGGAATTCTTTATTTGTTGGCTGTTGTGTAACAAATTGTCTCAAAGGGGATGACTTTAGATGACATGGGCATTTATCTTTTCCCAGCGTCCCCAAGTCAGGAGACCAGGCAGAGCTCAGTGGAGTTGTTCCAGCAGGCCCCTGGAGGCTGCAATCCAGTACTGGCTGGATTAGGACTACAGTCTCACTGGGAGGAGGCGTGACTTGGGGAAGACTCACTTCTGCTCTTTGCAGAACAGAACTACTTCTTCAAACCGGCATGGAGAATCTCCTTCCTGATTCCACATGGTGTTTATCAAGTACCAAAGTTGAGAGGTTGGGTCTTCCTTCCCTTGCTGTCCACCACAGTGGGAACCACGAGGGGGGTAACCCATTTTGTTTACTGTATTCTATTCTTTAGAAGCAAGTTGCCATTTTTGAGGGGTAAAGATTACTAGGGCAATAACAGTAATTAGATAGGACTTTTGTTATGTTTTGCTCCAGTCTCTTATACCTCGGCAGGTCATCAATCTTGTTTTGTATCCATATAATGGGAAACACCTGCTCTGAGCTAGGTGGCATTCAGACCTCCACACACAGTGTGGCAGGTGAGCAGATGGGGGTTGTACAGTGAGGTAAGTGCTGAAGGCTGTGTGTTTGAAAGTCTAGGGTCTCTCCTTGACCTCGAAGGGAAAGTGGTCAGAGCCCATTTCTCAAATGCACTGATACCAGGATTGCCTTGATGCATGATGGATAGGTAGTCATCAGAAAGACAGAAAAGGTGGCAGGAAAGACCAAGTGTGGGGACAGAAGGACAAAGTACATTTGGGGAGCCTCTTGTACCAGTGTGACTCATACAAGAACCCTGGAGTGATGGGCAGGGGCAGACCATCAAGGCCTTCAAAGCCAGCTTTGGATTTGTGTCCATGGAGGACCACCAGGAGGCCATGGGAAGGGATCTGGGGCAGCAGTTCAAGAGGCTTGCATTCCAACAACCCCTACATGGGCACCAGAAAAGTCTGTCTGTTTATAATAAGGAGGAGTCCAGAGTTCCCCGCACTGCTCCTTCAAAAAGCCCCAGGGAAGGCAAACCTTCCCAGAATGGTTTCGGGCAGCTGGGCTGTCAGAATGATCAGCTCTCAGCCGGGCAGCTGCATGAAAGAAGAAAAAGTCCCAGCAAGCCCCATTCCACTGCCCTTGACCTTGCAGTAGAGCTCGAAGTGCAAAGTCTGTCATCTATTAATCTGGAGAACTTGACAAAAGGGACTTTGATCAGGGGTTGTTTTTCCCCCTTCTTAAGTTTCATGATGACACATAATAGCCCACTTCAGCCACAGGCCCGGAAGCACGGCTGCTACTCTCCTGGTTCCCACTCCAGGCCCCCCTTCCCTGTGGCTTTCTCCCCACCCCAATATTAATTGGCCTGTAAGTGGTTGCATGTGTCCCTTTCTATGTCAGTGGGGTCTGTTATTTGAAACTTCACGGCCTTTGGGGAATCACAGACATGAGGCTCTAGGGCCCATGCTGGGGGAGGAACAGTCTAGAACAGGTCACATTCTAGATTTTTCTTCTCTCCTTGAGGTCTTGGTGCTGCTTACCCTCAACCCTACTTCCTACCCCATCTTGTTCCTCTGAGTTAGGCCCACTATAGCTTCGCA